TTTACATGTGCCCCTATTGCGGACCCCTTGTGATAGGGGGGTGCATATCAGCAGGGTGAAATAGAATGCTAGCGGATAATGAAGCGAATTAACTAAATAAGGAATTAGAAAGCGTGTGTAGATGTACTCAGCACCTCTGTGTCGACTTAAGACACCTTAGCTGAAATATCAGAATAGCTTGTATTCTGAACTTTTATATTTTAAGTCAATGCCCTCTACCAAACTGTGCGATGAACTTGAAATCGCTCGAAGGTCTGAGATTCATGGATAATTTTTTTCTTGTTCATCGATGAAAAAGTTTAGTCATACTCGAGGGTATATCGGCTTGCTCGTAGCTCATTTGAGCCTGTTTCCTTGGCATGAAGCAACTAAGGAATTGGCTCTGTGGGTTGTCGGTCGTGATTGGTCTTTCTCGATTCCTCATCAAATGTTAAGGTTCGTTCTGTTCTATTCGTTTGCTGTGCAACTGTCGTGAATGGTTTGAACCAAACTTACACAACTTGACTGTAGACAACAACAATTCACTAGACTCTGATGATGTGGATTTGTGTCCAGAACAACATTCCAGAGTGATGGTTCCATTTTAGAAACTTCGGCTCATGTAAGCAAAGCTGTTCGAGTAGTCTATTTTAACAACCGGTAAAGCTAGATTCACACCGGACGTTCTTAGATCAAACCGATCTCTCGATATCACTTGAAAAGAGATCTTTTAAATAGACTAGGGTCGCATCATTCATACTTTTAAACATCATGAGAGTTTTTTCTTTCTCTCTCCTCGCCTTGAGATTGGACCAGCCAAGTTTGCACAACAATTCCTTCGTAGATAACCGTTAGTCGGCAGCTGTGATGACACGCACGATTTAGTACCGTTTGAAGTTTGTCATTGAAGTGGTCTCTGATGTCATTTCCCATACGTATGACGCTGCAATAATCAAGTATGGTTCAACAACCCAATAGACACTAATCAGTTAAGTGGCAGTAACGAAAGGCTCACCCTTATAATAACCCCTGTTCCAGATGATGCTTTATTAGAAAGACTCCTTACATGAGTGTCCCACGTCGGAGACTCATCGATTGCTTTGCCAAGACAATACATTTGCTATTTCCAACTTTTTTCAAAGAGATCTCATTTGTGGATAGATCAAGTACTTCTGCAAGAGTCGCTAATAATTTGCCTAGATCCTATCAACATATATTCCGTCTTTAAAACATTCAAGGTGAGCCTATTTACTATGCCATGTTGCAGCTCCATCAGGGATGCTGCAAGCTGTGGAAGTCGTTTTAGTATCATCTCCATGCATTCTTATGGTAGCCTTCATGCATATTAGAAGCTTACTAAAGCGGCCCAAGTATCGAGTCCAAGGAAACTCCATATCGGTTTTAGAGGTGCTTTCTCGGAGAGGATGGATGGATAGATGGACGAATGGCTGGCGGATCCTTACACGAAAACAAACTTTAAACGCAATATAATAACTCTAAACACTATACCTTGCGAACAGACAACCAACACCGCTCGATCTCAGTGATTTAAGGACTACCCGGCATAAGGTTTCAATTTACCTTTAGAAGATACTTAATCGTGAATTGTTTTGAGGGCTTGAATATTTTCTGTCTGTGTGTAGAAGGAGCCCTGCAACAAAATCACTTGGGCTGGCACAATGATCTTAACTTCAATTTAAATCATTTTTCGGTAATAAAAGCCACACTGCTTGTGCGAGCACCAATCCGTTGGTGGAAAGGTGCAGTAACAATTACGAAAGCAATGAAGAACCAGTTTATCTAATTTCAAAGGCAACTCTCAGTTTGACAAGCTGGTATGTTTGACTTCACTGAATTTAATGAATTTTGAAATAAAAAAAATATTAAAAAAGACCAACAAATTTTACTCACCGGAAAATATTTTATTTTCTGCATTTCATTAAGTCGTCTGACTACACCGTAAAAATAAAGTGAGACCTCGCCAACTTGAACTGCTCGTTACTAAAGGAAACAAGAAAGGGGTTTGAGATAACGACAGGCTCGAGTTGTTAAATTAATGAATGAAAATTCTGACTCAACTGCAAATAGCAGTGCTAAGTCTGAGTTTAACTGATAGTTCATGATAAAAAAAACTCTTGGATACGTTTAATTTCTTTCTGTTAAATATACTATTTACAAGGGAAAGCAAAACAGAAGAAAACCTCAAAACAAAGCTGGTATATCTATTGAGACTTATACTCCATTCAAACCAGAAAAACATGTTCAGCGGCTAAACCGGGTTTAACTGGGTGAAAATCAGATTGAACGGAGAACTGAAAAATCGAGTTTTCCATAGATTTCAAGTAGTCTTCAGTTTTGATTTCCGATGTGCTAACTTTTATATCGATAAACATTGGTTTAAGCAGCTTCCACATGATTAAGAAAACAATTTTCAACTGTTTTTAACAAAACAGCTTTAAGACATGTTTTAGCTTTGGTGTTAATGGGGTAATGGGGATTCAAAACCTGTTGGTTCAGTCCACGCTCTGTCTACTCTCTGAGAGCATTAAAACGGATAACAAACAATTTTACTGGTAAGCATGTATAAATTCTATGCCAGGCTTCAGCGTTAGATCTCGTAGATATGAATATAGAAGCGGTCTTGGCAATTATGATCACTACTTATTGAGCAGTAGTGAAAATAAGGCCTGAATAACATTCAGGCTGTACGGGATTTGAACCCATGACCTCTGCGATACCAGTGCAGCGCTTTACCAACTAAGCTAACAAACCAATTGGGAGCCGGTCATTATGTTGGTCCCAAATAAACCCATGAGGAGGTGAATAAATGACTGTAAATATATGAAAATCATATAAGTGAACTATGGATAAAAAAATGAATCTAGAAGCGATCCTCGCAGCAATGAACCCTACTTATGCAATAGTGAAAATAATACCGAAGATCGTTTATACATTCATTTCTTTATCCGCAGTTCGCGTATATAATTTTCACGTATTTTATAGTCTCTTAGATATGGTTTGTTATCTCCTCATCTGCCTCCCTCATTTTTTACGGTAAGTTTGTTTAACAAACTGGAAGGTGCTTAACTTTCAAATCTTGCATGTCAAAACTTTGGTTTATTCAGAAGACTTTGGAACTCCTTCTGAATGTTTTGGAAAGTTTCCGAAAGTAACGATCGATTTCTGAAGATTTCCGGTCGAAGAGTTGCGAAAAGTAGCCTGAGTTTTTGGAATTTCTCCAAATAAGCTTCAGAAATTTACAGGTTCGCCCCTTGGGAAAATATATTGCTATATTCGATTCGATTAGTGTAGAGACTAGAAAGTTTCCTGGGGGTGTTCTGAGAGACAATTGTAAACTAACGCGGACAAAGCGGCCTTTTGGGAAAATTATCAAGTAGCCTCGCTTTGAAGCATCTGTTTATCAGGATACTTTCCTATCTGTTCAATCTAAAAGCTGGTAAAGGCATTCTCGTTGAAGTACAGGTGGTATTCGACCAAGATAGTCTAAGAAGTGTTAAAAAAAATCACGAAAATTTTTGAAAGCCTCGTTTGGAGGTGATTTCGTCAATAGAAAGCCTATCAACCGACTATTTGTGCGACCGAAGAAGTAAGTATTTACCGTCTTTTGAGACATTGTGACTTAAAACTGCCTTGAAGTCATAGAAAATATCCGTAAGCCTCTACCTGCCGACTGTGCTGTTTGCGATCAAACGAAAATTTGATCTTTTGTTGGCAACTTGCGATCGATTGATTAAGAGACAGACCAGCGTGCTGTCACTGATCTAAGATCGAAAATGTTTATCAACGACCCACATATATATCAGCTGATCGCAGCGAGCGAGCGAGCGAGCGATCGAGCGAGGCGGTCAAATATGCTCTGTTTATATCGTAAATGCACTAAAGGATCCATTCTATCTGAAAAAAAACATTTCAGTGTAATGAACGGGCAAAAAATCAGCTACGCTTCAAAGGTAAATCGCCAAAGCAGATAAACGGAATGTGATCACATGAGTAAAATTCATCGACAAGGCGAATGATTTGTTTACTTGTGACGATAGTAGATGTTTCACATAAGATGTGGCGTGGTTCCTTAGCTCAAGTTTCGGTCAGCCAAGTCGTGGGATGAGTAGAATTTGAACGAAGCTATATGACTGACAAAAGGATTTTCGATGTTCATAAATTTTACGAACAATTTCAACGCGGTTTATAACGAAATAAATGCAATAACTTTTGACAATTTAAGTAGAATTTCCGTGCTCTAAGTCATGCGTTAGTCACGTTGTGTAAACGGCACGTGGCGTCGATCAGTAGAGAGCCTTTGTCACTTTGCTTCGCTCGATTTGCTTCCCTTGGTATATTTAGGTGGTTAAAGGCGGTTGAAAGGAGGTTCTCGTCTTAAGCCTCGTTTTATAAATATATTTGTAGATGCTTCCGTTCTATGGAATGCAAATAAAAATTTTGCTTTCCAAATCGATCTGCAAACTACGAAACCTCTCAAAGGATGGGTTTTTGAAACGATAATCACGATAGGGTAATTAAGTATTATCAGCTGAGCTGATAGTGTAAATTTGGCCACCGTAAAGAGTTTAGAAGCTGGCGTTTCAAGCGTTAGCCCTTCGTCAGAGCGATTGAATAAAGGGGGTATGTTTTTAAAGAAACTGCGGTGCTTGGTTTTATCAACTGATTTGATAACGTAAATTGGCCACGATAAAGAGTTTAAAAGTAACCGTAATAATCATAGACTATAAAATTATCACAATAGTCTTCCCATAATTTTAATCATGATTGATGCCATTTGAAATCTATCCCTATACTAACAATAAACGTTCCGCATGTTTGTGTAAATATGTCATCTATGCAACCGTTCGTCTACAATACAATTTCTCTCCATTACAGATAAGATTACTGGATGTTCATTGGTCGAAAAAAGACTATTAAACGTTGCGACGTAAACACCTCGCTACGCGCAGCCCCCACTAAAAAGCGTTCGTGACGTAGGAACACGCGCTGAGGACCCACAATTCTTTTGTAGGCAAAAAGCGACAAGATGGCGAGGGTGTAAAGATACATTGAGGATCGATTTATGGAACGTTTTTGCCCGTTGTAGAAGCTTAAAAGCTCCAACTTTGTGTTCTTAAAAGTTATTCTGGTCACCGAGCGCGTATTATGTTGAACGATCTGCTCTGACATTGGCAGGTAGTGAAGACTTGCGACGCAAACAAACGATTGGAGAACTGGGGAAATTCGATCGCGAGGGTGCTGTAAACAAAGGTTACTTTTATTTCGTGACCAAATGGATGACCGTTGCAGCTCTCCCGAGATCGATGTTGTTGGAATACGCGATAAATGTCGACGAATTTCCCATCGAAGAGAAATGTTGTCAACTTACTCGGGCAGAAACGCTAGGAACATTCATCGAGCGAATCAACGCGGCGCGAATCTACCCGCGGCAAATACAAAAGCGAAAGGCAAGAGCAAAGTAGAGACCGTCAATCTTCGGGTTCGAAACATGGGAATTATCAGGGTAAAGAAAGAGCCAGAGGAGGAAGAGGATTGTGAGGTTTCTTATTCTCTGAGTTCTCTTCTAGACGAGTGTGATTTCGAACAAGCGCCGCGTAGGAAGGCCAGAGCGCTGAAATCACCGACTTCTCTTGCACTCGCGCAGTCGAAATCAGTGGAACCAGTTCGTCCTAATTCGGTACGACCAAGGCAATCCTTGGAAAATGTCATCAGTTCACTAAAATCTGCACGAGATACAAGTGTAAATAAACCCAGGTCTTCAACCAACAGGGCACCTAGCTTTCAGAATCCTGTGGTCCCTATATCACTGCCCACTCATATACTTTCTGTAGCACCTGCTCCACACAACTCGCTCAGTCCTGGAGCTCAAGGTGCTTCTGTACCACAGATTATTGATGTACGTTCCCTAGCTACCAGTCCTCATACTGTATCAACTGGAACAGCTGCCAAAACTACTTTAAATTTGTCAACTTCAAAACCAGTTACCCCTCAATCAGTCCAGTTAAGCAGTAGGGCTCTTAGTGGTGCTTATCCCTCACAAGGTGCCATGGTGACAAGGCCGTTCAGTGCTGGTTCTCCTGCACAAAGTATGCGTAATGTGCCCTTAACTAAGCTGCTGACTCAGGGAGTTCAGGTTCCAAGTGCAAAACCAGCTACTGCAGCCTCGAAGCCTCTAAATATCAGATTTGTTTTACCTGCTACTGCCCCATTCAACACAACTGAATTTCAGCAAATTCTGCAGGCTGCTCTTGCTGCTGTGGTCAGCCAATCCAAAGGGGTTGATGCCAGTCTGTTGCAACAAGCAATCCAAGAAGCACTAGTAACTGTAGCTAAGTCTCCTCAGCCATTTAGTGTTATGGAGCTGAAGGGAGCAATACAGGATTCTTTGGCAAAATTGGTCGCACTTTCAGCTTCACCCACAAGAGTGTCAAGGCAGCAAGTCGTTGCACCCAAGCCACCAAATACATACACTTCAACAGGTAGTGTTAAACAGTTAAAAACCTCTTCAGGTACAGCTATGAGTGGAATAAATCCCACTTATTCACCCCTAACTGTCACATCTAAGAATGTTGGTCCCATCACACAAACTGGCGCTCTAACTTCTGGTGTTGATACTTCATCATCAACATCTTTGAATTCTGCTAGAGATGCCCTTGTTAAAGCACTACAAGAAAAGAGGATTTTAAACAGTCCTCAGTCTTTGTCCTCTACAACATCAAAATTCACATCTGACATTTCACCATCAGTTCCAGAACCTGTTTTCATTGATGAGCCATGTTCAGAGTCCTCCCCACCTTCGCCAGAGGTACCCATGTTACAAGAGCCTACTATGGTTGCTTCTTCTAGGCCTCTGAACACTACCAGCAAGACAAAACCTGTGGCATCCACACCAGCATCAGTTCCTTCTTCTACTATCTCTACTACTCATACAAATCCATCTCCCCAAGATACAATTTCACAAGCTCAAGTGGTAACATCTACTGGAAATTCTCCAAGCACCAAGAAAGCACCTTTTACACCTAGCAACAGTAAGAACACAACACAACCAAGGAAAGCTGTGAAAGGTGGTTGTGGAGGTGGATGCTGTCAATTCTGTCGCACCTGTCTTGAAAATGATAATACCTGTGGGCTTCCTTCATGCCAGAAGACATTTCCTTCCAAACAAGCTCTTAGAAAACACTACTATTTCAATCCCAATCATGCTCTTCGGATCCCCATAGAGAAGGCATCAGTTGCATGCGAGAACTTCTTACCCTTGGAGCTTAATGATTTGCACCGTAAAGCAAGAATACGGGAATTATTCAAGCGCATTGACGATGATGAATTGAAGGAATTGCTCTTGCCTCGTCTGGCCAAAATTGTCTCACTTTTCCAGTTACTGGAGCAAAAGTCCCTTCGTGTTAGTCTGGGCAGTATCTCTGCTTTCAAAATGTTTACAGAGTTTGAACGCTTTAGAAAGGAAGTGGAGGCAAGTTTGCTAGACTTGATTTTGCAGCCCCAAGGCAAATCTTGTGGTAGGACTGGCAAACAAGACAGTGGTTTGAACATTGACAAAACAGCAAAGAGAAAAACAGCTGATACTAGTTTTGCACAAGGAAGTCAGACTGCTGCAAGTGCATCAGGGCAAGATGTATCTAAAGACAGATCATCATCAGCTACAAGTGCATCCTTAGAATTTCTTGCAGATGGTAATTCAGGAGGAGTTACATCACAAACTACAAAGAAAACTATGGACCTAGAAGTTGAATCCTCAGCTGGGAAGACCACAACTGAAGCTCCCAAAGCTGCATCACAGCCTGAATCACCAGAGTTTACTTGCTTTCTTGGCAATGAAAGAGATGAAAATAAAGAGGAAGTACCTACTGCTGTTACAAGTGGTAAGAAGTCAGCAGATAAGATGTCTTCACTCCCAGATGTCTCAGGAAAGAAAACTGCAGATGAAGCAGCCAAGACTAGCTCCCTATCTGAGCCAGTGGAGGTGGTTAGCTCTGGTGCTGAAAAAACTGACTTAAATACAAAAGAAGTGCTCAATTCTGTTGCAAGTGGCACTGGTGCACCTGAAGACAAAAATACTTCTTCTGCAGAGAATAACACTGAACATTCTGGCAAAGATTTTGGTGATGTTGAAAAGTTCTCCCAACCTGGAATGACTACAAAACAGGAAGATGTTATACCAAGTGGAGAAGATGGAAGAAAAGAGGACAAGCCAAACTCAATTCCCCAGTCGGCTGTAGCAAACCAAGGTTTAAGTGATCATCAGAGGCCTGAATCTTTGCAGCCAACTCAAGAAGATGCTGGAGACAACACTGAGAAGTCAACTTTGAAAAATTCCACATCTTCTCCCATGGAGACTGATGAGTGCCTGCCACAGTATGTAACTGGGGAGGGTAGGATATCTTCAGAAATTGAGTCAACTGATGTATTGATGGCAGATCAGGAAGAAGCTAATCACACCACCCAAGGTGATGCAACAAATTCAAGTAAAGAAGAGCACAAAAATGAATCTCAGAGAGACACTGTTGAAAAAATTGATGTTGCAAGGGGAGAGGGTGGCAAAGCACCTGTTTCTTCAGGAGGAGTGAGCCAGAATACTGAGCAAAGCAACAATGAGCAGACCGAAAGAGCTCTTGGAGTAATGAAAGGAATGGATTCTGACACTTTTGAGGCACAGGTTAGTAATTTTACAGACAACAGTTGTACGCAAAGGGACAAAATGACTGCAGAACATTCTGATGGAGCAAAGGAGACTGTTCCCGTGAACACTGAAATATTAGGAAACACATCCAAGGCTCAATCTACAGAAGAACAAATTATGATTCACAATGAGGATAAAACCAATGGTGTAACCAATGAAAATACTCCAAAGCCAAAAACTAGCCAAGAAGAAACAGCAAAAAGTGGTAAAGATAGTGTTAAACCAAATGTGGCCTCTGAAGATGTCAAGCTGCAACAAACTGTACAGTATAAAGCTATAGAGAGTCTTGATGGAGACAAGGAAATAGTTACCCCCGGCAGTAGCAAGGAAACATTGCATGAGGGTGGAAATATATGTAACACAGTTGTTGACCAGGTCTGTGAAGATGGAACAACAACTAGTGCTAAAATTCCACTTGAAAAAAAAGGTGACAAGCAAGTGGTGGAGGTGACAAGTGAGAAAAGTGCTGATACAAAAGCAGATGCCAGCACTGAGAAGGAGTCCCAGGAAACTACTTCTGGTGATGCTAATGCAGCTGAGGCTTCTCCCTCAGAAATTGAAGTTGGAAGTGACCAAAAGGTTGTTGCTATTAGAAAAGAAAAAACTTTGAAAGAGACATTAGAAGACCTTATTTTGGAAGATTTAGATGAGTTGGATGAAGGCAACTTAATGGATTTCAATCTACCACTAGCAGTTAAGTGGGGTAGAGTAATTAAAAAAGTCAAAGAAAACGAGGCTAAGAAGATTGCCAGAAAGGAGAATTACTCTGATCAAGACATGAAACATTTCATTTTTCACAAGCCTAAGGAAGCAGCAAATGCTGTCATAATCGCGTGTTGCCATGCGCATCCAAGCTTCTTCCGAGCCTATGTCATGCCAGCACTGTTGGACAAACACATTGATGACTTTGGTGTGTTTGGTAAAAAACTTTTGAGTCGACTATACCTCTCACAGCAGAAGTATGTGCAAGTTCTTAGAAATAACATTGGTCCACAACTGGCAAAAATACTTGGAATAAACATCTTCCCTACATACAAAAGGATACAAGACACCTGGGCCATTGTTAAGAGGCCAGCATGGACCACAAATGGGCCTTCAGCAACGACAGTATTCACCATAGGGCCAGAAGATGAGCATGAAGTTCCTGATGATGCAGAAGGAATAGAATCTCGAGCAAAGACACTTGGATCATCAGTGCAAGAGCTACATGGATTTGTACAAAGTCATGCTAACAGGGTAGAAGAGTCCCTCAAGAGAGCATCATCAGCAAACACTACCCTACTTGATGGAAATAAGAGGCAAAGGCTGGAAAATTCAGGTAACTTTAACTTTTCTAAAGGTGATTAATCTAAACACGACTAAGTTATGGGTCATATTAAAGAGAGCCCCCTTAACCCTTTACTCCCTAACATCAGTTTAAATATTCACCTTACTACTCCCTAAACATTTCCTAGGGTTGTGATAAGGAGAATTTGTTCAACAATCAAGAGTTTCTATTGTTGATGATCATCTCCTTTGTCCTCATGATCTTAATTTTTGATTCAGAGGTTGCTTTTCCTTTTCTTTGTCTTAATCATTATCATAATTTGTTAAAAAAAGGAAATGAAAATCAAACTTTTTTGAATAATTTCTACTTAACATTTTAAACCTTAACCCTCTAAGTCCCACTTGTGACCAAGGCAGAATTTCTCCTTACACTATCAGTACAATATAAAGTAGACAAGTTATGAGAATAAAGTAAATTATAAATTATTGGTTGATCCAATTCCAAATTCTCCAAACAAACATCACATGAGAATGACCTGCATCTAATTTCTCCTTATGGTAATATTGCTGAATTATTTACCAAGATTGTGAGAATTAAGGAAATGTTTGCAAACCTAAGAAGCTGTGATCCTTAAGCTAATTCGCCTGGTCAGTATCAAGGGAAATTTACAGAGAAGAGTTTGAAGAATAATTATGGATACTGATGCTAGGGTTAGGGGGAGATTTTAGCCAGAGTGTATAAGTGTATGTGTTGTTTGAGGTTGTATTTACAAATATCAGTGTACAACTTTCTATGGTGCATGTGTCTGTGTTGCTATTATCTGGGTTTTGGCCTTATTTTTAACTTGTGAAAAATATTAAGCTTGGGAAATGAGGTGTAAAAGGTGCAAATGTACTGGTTTGTGAAGAATTGTTCGGATAGCTTTTCATTGCAGACAATTGTAGTTGTTCACTTTTACAAGTGGTTAGCAAATACACTTAATAAATCTGACCAGCTCAATTGATTTGATTTGGTTTAATTTGATTTTCTTTTGATTTCAATACCCAAAGGAAAATCTCAAAGTTTTATGCTTAACACTGTTTATCCTAACATCAGTATGCATATTCTCCACACTGTGCTCTATACATTTCCTAAGGTGCTGACAAGGAGAATTTGTTTAACAATCAAGAGCTCCTTTAGTGAGAGATCATTTTCTTTACTCTCTTGACCTTAATGTGTTATTCAGGTATAATATTGTGGGGAGAAATTTAACGCTGGTCACTTTTAGAGATTAAAAGGCTAACTCTTTTATTCCCAAGATCTCATTAGTAATTCTCCTTATTGTCTGCCTTGAAATAATTACTTGTCTTGATCAACTATCAATCCTTTATCCCTTAAACTCCCAAGATCTCATTAGTAATTCTCTTTACTGTCTACCCTACATTAATTTTCCTATGATGTCAATTTGGAGAATTTGGTATTGGATCAACCAATAATCCCCTAATTGATAATTTTCTCTATTCTTATTACCTCCATGCTTGATATTGTATTGATATTGTGAGAAGAAATCCTCTCTTGGTCACTCATGGGAGGTAAAGGGTTAATAGATATTTTTCTTTATTCTCATCCCTTGCTTACCTGTTATTGTATTAATATTGCAAAGAGAAATTCTGTCTTGGTCACTCAAGGAGTTAAAGAGTTAATTACAGGCAGTGACCATGATCATGGTTGAAGGTTCTAGCACTCATCATGACATACATGTTTGTGTCCTTCAGATGCCAAAACAGACGCAGCTCAAAGTGAAAAGGGTAACAAAAAACCAACACTGGCAAGCTCAGAAATGACTGTACAAAAAGAAGCAAGGCAATTGAATGACGGGATGATGACACCAGTTGAAAAAGACAGTTCCAAGCCTGTCAAGCAAGGTGGTAATATGCAGAAAAATAAAGCCAAGGAAAAACAAAAACAAGCATTGGATAATTCAGCAGCACCAGGTAAGCCACGTTTTATAGCTAGTGATTTTGTAAATTGTCTGTAATGGGTTTCAAATTTCCTTTAACCCTTAACACTCCAACATCAGTATGTATATTCTCCACACTTTTTTATGCATTTCCTAATGTACTGACAAGGAGAATTTTTTTAACAATCAAGAGCTTCTTTAGTTGGTGATCATTTCCTTTATTGTCATGACCGTAATGTTTGATTCAGGGGTGATAATATTGCAGAGAGAAATTTTATCATCTAATTATTAGATGCTTGTCACTCCAAGGGGTTCAGAGAATTTGTATAACTAGGGAGAATTTGGTGTCTTATGCATTTATCTAAAACTATCCCCAGTATATTGAAAATCCTAGAAGTTTGGTTGGTTTACAAGTCATTGTGTCTGAGGTCTTATAACACAGACTTTTTTCCGCAAATGGTTTTAAACTTTTTTTCACAATGTTTGCAGTAGATTTTCAGATACAATGTACCTCTTTGGGTATTTTTAATTGAACAATAATTTTCCAACCAAATGTAAATAGATATGATAAATCTAATTATTGCTGGAGAAACAATTTAAATTGTAAGCAGAAATGGCTCATTAAACATTCCTAGGAGTGGGATTATTTATTGGGGGGGGGGCACAAGGGGCGGGGGCTAAACTATAGTCAGAGAAATAAATGGTGAGAAAATTTTAAGACAGTGAACAGAATTTAAGTTTTAAAATTTGTTAAATACAAATTATTGAGGTACCTCTTTGGTTCTATTAGGATGTCATGTCACTTATTGTATTCCTTGGTAATGATTATTGAGCAGATGTGGATATGCTAATTTCATTTATTTGTTCATCTATTTTTGGTCATTTTAATAAGCATGTTTGCTCTTTGCTGAACCCTTTACACCACAACATCAGTTTGTAATTTCTCCACACTGATCTCTATACATTTCCTAAGGTACTGACAAGGAGAATTTCTTTGACAATCAAGAGCTTCTTTAGTTGGTGATCATTTCCCTAATTCCTGTGACCTCAAGTTGTGAATCAGGGGTGATATAGTAATGAGAAATTAGATGCTAGTCACTCATAAAGGTTTGAAGGTTTAACACTTCTTTCCACATGCACTTCTTCATCCATGCCTGTAGAATATGACATAGAGAATGCAGGCTCCACAAGTTCATCAAGTGCATTAGGAAAAGAAACTTCAGCCTCACAAGAATCTGAAGACAACAAGAAAGGTAATGAGTACTGTATTTTTCTTATCTATGATCCCAATTAGCACCTCACCAGACATTTTTCAGGAGCACAGCTTCAGAAGATTATGAATATACAGTGTAATTACTGATAAAGTTTCATTGTATCATCAGAGTCTTGATTTCATAAGTAGTTTAAGTCTATTATCTGGAGTTATTTTTGTTTGTTTCTCACAAACATACATGTACCATGGGACTACTTATATCTTTATTTTGTCCAAGCCCCTTACTCTGCTTGCCAGGAGGGGTTGGAAGGGAATTACGATTCAGAACCATCTCATTTTCCTCTTAACCCTTTAATTCCCAGATCAAATTTGTCATTCTCCTTACTGTCAACCATACAATCCTTGTAATTTTAGTTCAGAGAATTTAGCATTGGCTCAACCAATTATCCCCACATTGATAGTTTTCTTTATTCTCATCATTTATCTGGTTAATGTTGTATTGATATTGTAAGGAGAAAATCTCTCTTGGTCACTCATGGGAGATAAAGGGTTAAAAGAATAACTCAGTCTGTTATTAATCTGTGAATTATTATAAGCATGGGTAATATGCATCATATTGTGGCAGGGGGATTATAGGACATTTGTTTTCTAATCAGCACACAGTCATGTCATATATCTCACCAAAGGCTGTCTTGTTTGTTTTTTTTTTATTTCCTTTAAGAAAAGGTATGATTTATAATGTCAGAGTTATCAATACCCCCTCCCCATCTTCAAAGTCTTGCACAACCTCAGAGTCCTGTCTTGAAAGTTCTATCAAGTGGAAAATGAAACATGCACCCTTACCCAAGTTTGTATTCTATGAAGAACAGTACAGAGAATTTACACACTAATGTTAGGGTACAAAGGTTTAAAATACCCAATGGAAAAAATATCTACTGTTTATAGCAATTAAGTAAAAGGCCAGCACATAATCATGCTAAGATTTAGCTTTGGTGTGTATGTACTTGTACTAGAAAATTTCAGTTAGGAACTGTATTCAGAATAAAAAATCAAATCTCACTTGAAAGCAATGAAATACAAGCTCACATGCTTGCCAATTCACACTCAGAAATTAGGCCAAAGTGTGGTTTGATCAGGGCAAGAAAAGTTTTGTTTTTTGTTTTGTTTTGTTCCTGTCAGGAGAATCTTCTTACCCTGGACAATCAGTCAGGACTTTATGATAAAGTTTTCTATTTCCTTCTGCTAATTTTTTTTCCCAATCATTGAAGCTGATACAAAAGGTGCTGAACCTATGAGTGTTGATCAAGAACAAAAGCAAGATGATAAATCCAAAGATCCACAGGCAACAGGTACCTATGTACACAGTTTGTAAAACTGTTAACCTTTGAACTTTCAGAAGTGATTTACATGAAACGTCTCCCCATATTATACATACATCATCCAAAAAACAGGTAATGAGAATACTCAAACTATCAGTGGAGGTTGTTATCATGATCTAACACCAAATTCTCATAACTCATATACAAGGAAACATGTAGCAGCTACATGTAGATCTAGGTGGGAGAATTAACAATCAGATCTTGGAAGTTTAAGTGTTGAAGGAAAGAATCAAATATCAATTAAATGACAAATTAATACCTGTATCATAAAGCAGAAACAATTTCTCTATCAAATTATTGTTAGAAGTATTACTTAATATTTTCTTGAAAAAATTTCTTAAATATTGATTTAGAATATTGTTTGGTTTATGATGAATTCATTTCTGTTGCCACCTTACTTGTGTTAACCAATTTTGTTTTTAAAATTTATGTGAAAAAAAAAATTATACAGATTTTGATGGCTATGATTGCTCTTATGAAATCTTCAAGATATTTCGAGCAATAAGGATTTTTGGTGAAATCACAGATGCACTTTAACAGAAATGTGATTTGGTTCACTTTAGGGAGTTCTGGGGCTGTTGAGAAACTTTCCAGTCGCTTCAGCACTGCACAGTCAACCCCTACTGCTTCAAACTTTACAGACCAACCAGCACCTTCTACCACAACAAGTCCTTCATCTCTTATCCCTCCAAAAGCAACCATCTACACTAACCCCACTGGAAAGAAAGGAGAACCATCAGTGCCCTTCCCTGTCACTAAAGGCTCTCCATTGTTCTTAGTTCCTATTGAGAAAATCTCCCCTAAACTGATAGAGAAGTTCATTCAAGAAGCGAACAGAGGAGGTGTTAAAACCCGCAGCAGTGACAAGAAAAAAGGAAAACAAACCAAACAAACAAGTAAACAAAAACAACAAGGGTCACAAGTCCTTGTCTTGGTTCCATCATCCATCCCAAACAGCAGTCCAACAATCCAGGCATTGACTTCATCTGAGCAGTTGGAGAGTACTGGAGGCAAGAAGCCACTACTGCTTCTTCCTGCAGACAGAGTGCCAAAGACAATTGCCAACCAATCACAGACTGTGCGCCGGAAAATGGTGATTACCATGGTAGCACAGTCAAGTAGTGCGAAGTCTCCATCGACATCAGCATCAACAGCCGCAAGTTCAACAGGTATCTCCTTTTTAGTTTTTTAGCTGTCAAATTTTATATTCTCTAAAGTTACAACCGTGAATCCTCTCTAATCCTGAGTGATGATTTTCAATTCTCCCTTTAAGCCCCTGTTCATTTTCTGGTAAATTATGAGAAAATTTGATATAATATATCTCTTATGTTTTTAACCAGGATACAACGCCCTTTAGTTGATAACTTTGCATATTTCCATTACCCTTGTGCTTCTTATTGCATTGATTGTGTAAAAAGAAAATATTATGCAACAGGAAAGAAACACGTAGATATTCAAGTCTAAATATAACTTCTGTTTGCAGTTCACATTCCTTTTAGTGGCAATGTAGTATGAAAAATTTATTCTGTATCAAAATTCTCCATATGAGCACTGTCAGTCTGTATGTTTTTTTTGTGTGTGTGTTTGTGTCTTAACCATTTAATTTACAAGATCTCAGCGTCTATTCTCTATTCTGTTTACTATTCTCCATTTATATTGAATATTTTGTTTGTTTATGCCATTAGGTGATCAGTCAAGTTTTCCTACTTCTGCCATCCGCTCAGTAAAAGGACCAATTATGAGCACACAAGAAGGGAAAAGTAACACGACATCAGCAGCAAGCTCTGATGCCAGTAAGTCAGTGGAAGATTTAACCTCGGTTGTTAATAACACGTCAGCTCTTAATTCGCCTGCGAAAGAACGTTTGTTCACTAGTGTGTCAGGGTCAAACGAATCAACCTCCCAAGCTAAACTGTTGTGTAAGTCTAGCTCAGGAAGAGACGCGGTCCGAGATTCTTCCGCCGAAAAATTCCGCGGCAACAAAAAGAGCGCTGGGAATAAGGATTCCTCTTCTCAAGGTGCGGCATCGGCAATACCCTTGACCGAGAATGACGTAGATGGAAATCGCCGGCTCGCCTGTAGTACAGATTTCGATCCGTTAGGGTCGAGTATGCTTCCCAGTGATACAACACTAGATGACTTTTTGAAAGACATGAACCGAGATGGAACTGGTAGTGATGCAAATGAAATGCCATCACTTGACCTGTCGGAAATTATCAGCAGCTTCGGAGACATGCCAGCACAATCTGGTGGTAACACGCCAGTTGGTGTGTCACTCGGGGACACCACTACCACAAGTGCCGTGGGTCGATCTGCAGACAGTCAGGTACCAAGCTTTCTTCAAGGGAAGCCGCATCTTCAGGACGACGACCTCAGCTATTCAACTACCCGGCGGCAGTCTCCAAGGAGAACTACCGCGCCTACAAAGTCAGCTTCGGGAAGCTCATCAAGGGATGTATCAGATACAGATGGCGAGGATGAAACCAGCGAGGGTTCTAGTCATGACTACAGCTTGAGAAAAACCTCGTCACCGTTTTCATCAGGTTTGTTTACTGTGCTTATAGTAACAAGGTGTCGTGTGATAAAAAGCGGGTGCAGCCAATTAGAGAGCTGTAAAACCACCTCTACGCGAACGGCAAAAGTTCTTGTACATCTTGTAATAAGACTGTCTTCTCTGTCAGGATATCGTCACGCTCGCTATGATACATAATTGGCTGTGTTCTCTGTCTAACAGCCTTAGGCTTTTATGTCTCATGTAAGCCGTTATTGCAGAAAATTCTAACACGTGTTTAGTGGGTCGAACTATTGGTGGTGGTACCTGTAATATATATTTTTTTAACATCAGTTGTCAGGAGGTTTCGCCACATTGTAACTCAACGCTAATCAGTTCATCCAATCACGACCAGGAAACGAACTTGTAAGGAGTGAACTTGCAGTGGGGCGGAAACAACGCAAGCTGCAACAGAAAACGAAAAATAATTTGTTTTGTCCGTCCTAGGGAGGTGTTTCCATATTGGAATACGAGTGTTAAGGGATTTATGTGTCGTACGTCATGGTCGAGTTACTCACCTACTTTGCGTGTTGTTATCGTAGTTCTCGCTTGAACATTTTTTTTTTATTTTCTATTAAGGTGCCTCCAAAGACGATTCAGACGCAGATGAAGCGAGTCCCTTAAGAAAGCGCCGAAGGGTTCCTACACGAACAAATACGAGGTCGTCACTTCAAGTAACATTTGTGTCTGACCGTGGAATCCCCGCGAAAGTATCTCACACTTCTCCAGCTAAAACCAAAGGGAAAAAACATTGAAACAAAAGGGAATACTTGGTCATGCTGGGCTCTGCGAGTGCGACTTGAGAGCATCGATGCTCTAATATATGCATTTTTTTTTTGTTTATTATGCTGTATAGTGTGCCTTTTATCGTGCACCTCTGCATTAGCAAGCTGCAGTATATTCGTTTGATAAGTATCGAGTGGTTCTAGCTTTCAGATCAAAAGTAAAACCGCGGCGTGTGAATATCTATTGAAACTCAAACTTAACCTTGGCTCTGTGCTGTACTGTTTGTTGTTACCTTGGTGGCGGTCTGCAGCTAAATTCCTTGCTGTGCCTCCATCAAGAGCCTCGCTACTATGAACTGAACCCCTTACTCTCCTGCAGGGCCGGGTTGTTCAAAGCTGGCTGAAGGTAACCCAGGGTTAGTGTGAAATCTGCTTTCAGATCTGAAAGCTGTGAAAGAAAATTTAGTACTTTCCCTTTTGTCTACAATTTGGTGACTGGATACCTTAATGAGAATAAAGGGAAATATCTGAAAATGGGTTTTTTAAAAATGAATGAAGGAACCCGGCTTAACATTTGACTCTGGGTTAGCGCTAACCGAACTTCGAACAACCGAGCTAGAGGTCAGAGAGATGGAAGAGATTTGTTGCTAGGCAACATCATGTAGAAAGTAATGACGTCATGTTGACGTAATTTTTTCCTTGCATAACGTTCGTTGATAATTGGATACAAAGAAAACCATCATACACTTTGCTTCTCCAGGAATACTTTACTTTTCGCTTTCCTAGGACGATATTGGACGACTGGATCGCTTTAGAGGTTTTGATGATGGATTTGTTGTTTGTGAACTGTGGTACATTATGATTAGAGGAGTCGTTTTATATGTTTACTGTTGTTGAAATATATTTGAAATCACGTCGCTAGAATGTTGACATGTTATTTGAGGATTGTACCTGAAGCGCGGGAAAGCGCCAATGACTGGTTTTAGGGTGGCATCAGATTGGTGGAGAGGGGGTGCGAGTTTCCCCGACCATTAACCGAAACAGTTAAAACAAAAAAATAGCCAAGGCAATCAGAAAAAGTTTACTTGATTACTTTCGATACCCAATTGAAAATTGTTCCCATTAGCAATGTTGTATTTGCAGATCCTACCCTCGCTTTTAACCCCACAATATACCAAATTTTGTGTTCTTGTTTATTTGTCATTCGGTTTTTTTTCATAGTAGCATTGAAATTATTTGCCCTTATAAGATACTTCACTTGAATCAGCTCGAACGTGAAAGAGAGTACACGAACAAAGCCCCTCCAAAGAAACTTGAGTATGCAGCATGAAAAAGTGTAAGAATGAGCCGCTACTTTTTTT